ATATAATATATATATATGTTATTTACATAATTTAGTTAATTTGGGAAGCTTAAAGCTATAGAGTAAAATGTTACTGTTTGTGTCTGTTTCCACTGCTGTAGGGGTCAAACGGTCATGCAACTATGTGCCAACTCTGCTCAGAAATAAGTGGATCACCCAATGGATCCAAAATAGAAAATGCAGTCCAATCCGGGTTGAATAAGTCCTCTTCTTTGCCTGCATTACGTTAAGTCAGTCACCATTTTAAAAGACATTTACATCAACCATCTTCAGACACTTTCTTACCAAGTTTGGATTTTTGTTTGCTTTGAGGTTTTCCATTCGAGACTCGGCTACTACCATTTAAAATTTTAACTCAATACCTTGTGTTGGCTATCATTAATTAAGTGTAGCAGCATCTAATGGGGTTAACTACCACAGTTAATTCAACAGTTTTAAGCAAATCAATGTGCACACCAAATGTAACTTAAAACTGAATGAACTGTAGCTACTTTACATTGTGTATGGTGGCCATCTTTAAGAGGATTGGTTTCAAACGTTAGCCAGTTACAGTTGTGCCTCCAAGGGTTATTTCCTGAAAGTCTCCTCAAAGTCAATCCAGTGGTCCATGAGGTATTTTGCTAACAGATAGGCAGAGTTGACTACAAATAGTTGGGAAATGTTTAATCAAAAAGGGTTTTCAGTGTGTTAGCATTAAGATAAGTGTTGGGGATGAGTCTTAAGTGCTGTCACCCTATAACTTTAGCTCCAGTTGAGTCATACATCCTTGTGTGCTTTTAAGATCAGCTGGCTGTGGCAGCCATCTTGAATAGGCTTCAGCTCAAAAGTTAATGATAATTACTTTATGCAAGTTTTATTAAAACTCTCCCACTACTTTATATGATATTTTGCTAACAGACATAAAGATTACTCCATATGAATGTGTAATTTTAAACTCTTTTTTTGATTTTTGTGAAATGTATATTCTTTTTTTCCAAATTCCCTTCAAATATCTTTTCAGGGAACATTCTTGAGACAGGGGTTGCACGTTATTTAATGTATTTATTTGTATTTCTTACTTATTCTTTTGGGTGGTATGGGGATTAAAACGAGCACACGTCAGACTTTACTGCACAGACCTCATCACCTTGTGCAAAATCCTTCATGGCTTCAGTGGTGTTAGTGAGAAAAGAGAGAACAGTCTGTTTTTAAAATAGCACGGCTGATCCGAACGAACAGGAAAAGAATAGACGCTGACCCGCAGTAGCCTGAATTAAGCTCTTATCAATGGCAACTGAGACGCAACCCCCCTCCAGTGATTGGATCATTGATCTGCGCTCTGATTGGTCCGTTGGGCTGCCAGTCAGGGTTGGTTCAACTGGAGGGTTTTACGCATAGCGACTAATCTTCGCTTCTGGTTACGGACGCCCAGAGTCTGTGTCGCAGAGCGGAGACGCAGAGGAGCATCTTCTGCTACTTCCGGTGGAGAAACCAGCTCCTTTCTGCGCCTCCTTACAGAGATAAGTCAATGGAGGCTCGGTGGGTGTCGTGACTGCTCTTCACCGCCTCTCACTCTGCAGAAGACTCTGCGGTGAAGTTGCCGCAGCATCCATCCCCCCCCCGGGCAGCGCGCGCTCCATCCTCCGCGAGCATCATGGGCACCGTTCTCTCCATATCCCCCGCGAGCAAGAAGGCGTCTATCATCGAGGCTGAGGCCGCAGCGGACGGACTCAGAAACGACAAGAGCCTCAAGCGGCACTCCATGTTCGTGTCTCTGTCCTGGAAGAAGCTCGTGGCCAGTTCGGCGAAGAAGAGCGCCAAGAAAGTGACCCCGAACCCGCTGCCCACCCGCGAGCTCCCGTCCAGCCAGGTGGCGCAGCTCAACAATGAAAACATCAGGAAGACGCATCAAACCGAGGAGAGGAAGCCCAAGGCCCCCATCCCGGTGCCGGTGCCCACGGTCCCCACACAGAATGGCGACAGAGGGAGGCTGTCCTCCGTCCAGAAGCAGCCCAGCAGCTTCTCGTTGCTGTCGCCCAGGAGGATTGTGATCCAGGCGTCCACAGGAGAGCTGCTCCGGTGTCTGGGGGACTTCATGTGTCGCAGGTGCTACAAGCTGAAAGAGTTACACAGCGGGGAGGTGGTGGTGTGGTTCCGCAACATCGACCGGACTCTGTTAATGCAGGGCTGGCAGGACATCGGCTTCATCACGCCGGCCAACGTGGTGTTCGTGTACCTGCTGTGCCAGGACACGATCACGGACAGCATCGAGAGCCCGGCCGAGCTGCAGGGCGCCTTCCAGACCTGCCTTTACCTGGCCTACTCCTACATGGGCAACGAGATCTCCTACCCGCTCAAACCCTTCATCATCGACTCCAACAAGGACGTGTTCTGGGAGAGCTCGCTGCGCATCATCGACCGCCTGAGCGCAAAAATGCTCCAGCTCAACGCAGACCCGCACTTTTTCACCGAGGTCTTCCAGGACCTGAAGAACCAGCGCGACTCCAGCGAGTCCAACCTGGACCGCTGACGTGCTGAGGGAACCGAACTTGTTTTTTGAAAAAAAAATGGATGAATGTAAACAGGTGAAGGCTCCTCCACGTCTGGGCTCAACGTGTCATTCATGTTACATAACTTCCGTCAATATGGTGTTTTAGGTTACAACGTTGTAAATTTAAACTTTTAAACACGCATGCCAGTTATTATATTGTCCTCTGTCGTCTTGTCCGAGGGATTGACGTCATTGTGCGCAACAACCTGGAGCAGAACAGAAAGAGTCGGAGCTGTCCATGGTGCTGGCTCGTGCAGCCCTTTCTGCTGCTTGGAGTCCTTTTCTTTCACACCTGAGCCACTTAGCCCAGTCCACTTTCAGCACATAAGCCTAAGCCTTGTAAGCAGAGGTACTGAGCTTTTTTAACATCTCAGTCAGCTGATTGGTAAGCTGCTGAGCATGGAACAAGTGGGACAGATGGACGGAGAACAACTGTACATACTTTTCTTTGGGAAACAGGGGTGTCAGCTGTGCTTTCATTCTGCAAACTTTGACGTTAAAGGTGCTCACTGCAATGAAGAAAATCAAACGTAAAAACAAGGAGATCATGAATTATATGTAATTGTGTCGTTTGAAAAAGTTGACTTAGTAGTTTTACGGCTATCGATATATAAGGGTCTGCACTCAATGTAAAGAAAGAAGCTGAGCATAAGTACATTAAAATTGTCCGACAGCTCTTCCGTGGATGCTGCCATTGCTGACCTGTTTGTTGTCACTTCTGCTGTTTCCTTATGTAATCAAACACACAGTTGAAATTTGATCACAAATTTAGTTTGCAGTTTTTTTAAAACACTATTTGGAAAGTGTGAAATCAAACATTGGAAATGTTATTATAAGCTATATCAAATGGGGGTTTGAAAAAGTTCACTTTTACAGATCTGTTGATATTTAATTTTGAAATGTGGGTACGCACTGAATGTAAACAAAGCACTTATAATTTATTCGACTAATCTGAGCATCAAAATTACAAGCTTTCTTGATCCCAAATGTATCTTCCATAGATGCTGCCAATGTCCACCTGTTTTCAGGCCCTTCGGCTGTTTCTATGGGTAAATAAATAATGTGGCGGTTCACAACTTTTGCTTTTTTTTTTTTTTTTAAGGACACATTAACCATTGATATGGGATGTTAGCCTCTCATGCGTTATTAAAATGTGATTTCCAGCATCACTCTTCCTATAATATAAACGTACAATGAGCCGGCTCAAGCGGGAACACCGTTCTGTCATGTAACAACTGGAAACTAGATGGAATGTACACTTTTTAAGAGATTTGCTTTTAAATCTTTTATGTGCCAACTGTAAAATGGCCTAAAACGTTATGGTTTACATGCACACATCCCATATTTTGAACTTTTTTTTTTTTTTTTTTGTATGTTTGCTTTGAAAATGTTGTTTTTAGTCCGAGGGTCACAAAAACAAACAAGGTCCTATTCTGCAAAATGTGCATCGGGCCTCAATCTCCTTCACATTTAGTCTGTTTACGCTTTGAAATACAATCATTTAAAGGAAGAGAAACAATGCTATTAGCATATAACGGATAGCTATTATTTGCACATGTTTCATGTCAGTATCTATAAGCTAAAGGTGAACTCTGAGACCAAACGTGAAGATGTTGAGTCCTCTGAGAGGTCATCGCGGCGTGTTGTGAAGCCGTTGCTTTGAAAGTGAATACTGACGCTGCTATTTTTGCACAGCTGTGAACAAATGTCCATGTTTTGCACAGTGGTATGAGCCAATGGTGATGTACCGGTGTTTTCTCTCAGGCGCTGGGAATGCTTTGCCATTAGGTTTTTGTTTTTTCGTGACTTTCACCAGCTCTCTCTTTAGAATGATCATCCGCCGATAGAAACAAAATATTTTGTACAGTCCTTTTTATTTTTCTTCCTGAATGTCATGTGGAAAGTAATATTTAGGTGTGTGCTGTCTGTGGTCTTACACCACAGCTGCATTCAAACATCATTACAGCAACTGTTTAAGGTGACCATAGTCAAAATAAATTCAAGCTTCTAGTTTATTTGGTCTTTCTTGCATTAATTTATTCATTTGCATTGAATCGCTGTGTGCCCACTCACTTTTTTCGTCAGAGTTTGCACATGCCCTGCAGTTTGTGGAGAGATAATTAACACGGATGCCTTCTTATCAGCTCACAGCACCCGCTAATCCTTGATTCACAACGAACCCTCGAGACGCCGTTATGTAATAGAAATAAGTCCATGACGAAGACGGTCGCTGTAATCAGGATGTGTTGCTGCGAGACTGAAACTCTGAAGATTTGCTTTTGCGGGGGGGGGGTTGCCATGAAACTAGAACTTATAAAACAGAATCGTTACAAAACGGAGGCTAGTTTGAGAAGTTTAAAGATGTAAAACAAAAATGCTGATCTGCGCTAAACTGTGTTTATGCTCTGAAAATGTTTCAACTTAGTGCTGTTTTATATGAGGACACCAAAGTGAGGTGACACATATGTGTGGGTATTTTTGGCATCTTGTCTTTGTCCTAGCTGTTGAATTTAGGACATTATGCTGAAACGAGAACACCAACAGTTTTAACATTTGGAAAGTGAAATAGGAACCTCCTCACTTAATTTTTTTTATGTGTTTATCTAACAGTTTTGGATCATATTATTTAGATTAAAAAAGCAGGCAAATGACAATATGAATTATATCAATGTATGCTATGCATTTAATATCATTTTAATGTATAGCTCTATGAAAAAAGTAAATAAATATGCTTATGCTGCAATAAAATAGGAGTTCCGGTAGCTTCCTTCAGTTCAGATCATGGATGATTGCATGAATGAAGGCATGGAGTTGCATTGATGAGAACTTCCTCTTGGTTTTTATGAATAAACCACACAGGCTGGAAGATCCCTTCGTGTGATTGGCTGAAATCTGCTGCAGTCTCCGAACTGTCTGTGGCTCTCCTGCTCTCCCTCTCGTGTCTTTTCCAGGGACACACAATATCTATTCACAGAGCAAGAACTGAGAAAGGCAAAGATGAATTAGGCAGGGAAGAAAAGAGGGTGACCCAAAAAGAAGGAGAGTGAATGTTTACGGGTAGGCAGAGGTAGAAAGACTTATAAAGAGATTAAAGAGGCTGAATGAAAGAAGATAAAAACACAAACAGGAGATTAGAGTTAAGCTGCTCTGTTTCATTCAAGTACTGCCTTCTAATTTCACACTCACGATAAAAAAGCAGCAGCAAACCTTAATTTTGTAGCATGATTCATAATTAAACACCAAAAACACCTCGAAGGAATGAACATTACTCACCACCTTTCACACCAGAGTGTTAGACGATTGGCGACATTTTTTTTAACTTGACTTAAAGCTATTTTTGACATTTCCAAGTTAGATTAGTTTTGGTGGCCATCTTGAATGGGGTTGACTCCTGAAGTTATCATTTGTATATATACATCCCAATTGTTACTTCCTGAAATTTCTATTAAAATCCATTCAGGTGTCAAAAACATTTGGTAACAGGGATAAATAATTCCTCTAATTAATATAAAGATATATTTATAAACTATTGCATGGCAATGACGCATACATTTAAACAATGTATGTTCTCTGATCAGTTCATAAGCTTCAAGGTAGAAGCCTGCATAAGCATTACGTAACCAGCAGAGGTGTGTATATATATATATATATTTTTTTTTTTTTTTTATCAGAGAGCTTGTTTCTTCGTTGTGCTCTCTCTCTATTAGGATTCAGCTCAGGTCTCCAGCATTTGTGTCTGCCAGCCAGCTTCTGCATTCTTCTCCTCCGTGTCTCTATAGTAACGGGTAGGTAAGTGAATGAGAGCAGGGCAGAGTGAGCTGTGTAGGACTGAGCGTGGGCTCGACCGCTGCGCCGCACACAAACACTGCCGGGATCAATGGAAGACGTGCACGCTGTGTCTGTCACTGCAGGCACGTCCCTGACTCCTCCACACTCAGACTGTCGGTTCTAATCCGCCTCAGCTTTACAACTCCTGCAGCGTTGGGAACAATACAAATACAGTGCCTTGTGAAAGTATTCGGTCCCCTTGAACTTTTCAACCTTTTGTCACATTTCAGGCTTCAAACATAAAGATCTAAAATTTTAATTTTTGTGAAGAATCAACAACAAGTGGGACACAATCGTGAAGTGGAATGAAATTTATTGGATGTGTCAAACTTTTTTAACAAATAAAAAACTGAAAAGTGGGACGTGCAATATTATTCGTCCACTTTACTTTCAGTGCAGCAAACTCACTCCAGAAGTTCAGTGAGGATCTACGAATGATCCAATGTTGTCCCAAATGACTGATGATGATAAATAGAATCCACCTGTGTGTAATCAAG